TACGAATTATGGACGACCCGCAATGACTCGAAAGCTAGCATGAATGGGCTATGAATTGCAGCCCATCTGCAACTCCAAGAAATGCTATCACAAAATTCGGCCGAGCGCGGACCATCTGCGGTACCGATCGTGAGCCAGCAGGGAGCGCCGGAGCCTTGCGGATTGAAAGGGGGGGAGCGACACGGCTGTAGGAGGAGGCAGAGAGGCGCTCGATCCTACGAAGGAAGAAAGGTTGTAATAGGATTGGTGGAAGAACGGGAGTAGGGGATAGATCTCGAGAGAGGGAAGGTATGCGAGCGGGAACGACCAAGTATTCCCCAAAATTTGGAGTGTGGATCGGCGGGAACAACTAAGGATCTCGAGAGAGGGAAGGTGTGATCGGAAGGTGAGCGGGAACGACCAAATATTCCCCGAAAATTTGGTGTGTGGAGCGGCGGGAACCACTAAGGATTTCGAGAGAGGGAAGGTATGATCGGAAGGTGAGCGGGAACGACCAAATATTCCCCAAAATTTGGATTGTGGATCGGCGGGAACAATTAAGGACAGTGATTGGTGGAAGCAGAGAGAGGAGGCTTGAAGGTGGGAAGGGCCGACCGAAAGAGGAAAGTATAAAAGGAAGAGGGAAGAAGTTCGACGGGGGCGCGCGGGGCGTACGAGGCGAGGTCACGCACGTCCGCCAGGATCAGCAGCTCCTCTGTAGCGTACGAAGCGAGCCGAGTTGCTCGGAGAGACGGCGTACGCGCGCGACTCCGATCGAGAGGATCGGCGTCAGCTCGGCGGGGTGCAGGACGAGTTGGGTAGCTCCGTTGGACCTCGCGGGCTTGTGTTCATGCTCGTGGGATCGGGAAGACTTATGCAGGGCGTAGAACTGCCTTCGAAGGAAAGAGGGCTGGGGTTCGCGTGTGCCGTCTGCCATCTGTTTCGAACGAGTTCCATTGCTGTGTTGCTGCGCTGACCTCCGGCGGGATAGAGAAGGAGCGCAGGGTAGAGCCAAAGGGAGCTCTTTGCCTCGGTCGAGCGGGGAGGGTCAGCGGTTCTTTCTGTTTAAGGAGGAAAGGAGCGTGTGCGCGCGTGAGGTTTTCTCGAAGGGGGGTCGCCCAAGCCTCTTTTCACGTCGGTTTGGCTTGTGTCGGCCTTCTCTTGGTAGGGAGAGGGGTGGGAGAGAGGGAAGGAAAAGAGAGGCGGAGAGGGGGGAGAGCACGAGGACTTAAGCGAAGAGCAGGGATAGGAAGAGAGAGGAGGAAAGAGAGCGCGGGAATGGACGCAGAGGGAGAAAGATAAAGAGAAAGAAGGGAGGAGAGCGCGAGAACTTGTGCAGGGAGAGAGGAGGAGGGCAAAAGAGCGAAAAAGCGAGGAGGAGGAGTGCACGCGAGGGTATGCAGAGGAGGGAAGAGGGTATATGGGCGTGAGGAGGTGAATGGTGGAGACAGAGGCGGCTGGGGAAAGGAGCTGGAAAGGGGGGGGCGCTAGAAGAGAGGACGAGAACGCACGACCTCCAAACCTGCTTCGGGCCCGCTTCAGGCTCTCGATTATTAGACTTGTTCCACGGGTCCTGTTTTCCCTGATCGGTAATTTGCTAACTGGCTGTTTGACCAAGGTCGGTATCTCCAGAAGATACATGTCGTACGTGGTCTCAGTTGCCCGAGCCTGTTCATTTTCGCCTGGTGCGTAACTCTGGATGATTCCTGTCGTGGGCGGTCTAGCGGTCCGAGTCCGTTCATTTTTCGCGGAAAGGCGCTCCGCCATCCAACCGTTCGAACCTGGTCGGCATCTCTAGAAGGTACTTAGAGTATACGGTCTTCGGGGGAGAGACCGCTCTATCTTCCCCAAAAAGCTCCTCGCTTGTGTATTCTCGGCTGTCCGAGTCTGTTCGATTTCGCCGAAATGCACTCTGCTACTCTGACTGTTGGAACCTGGTCGGTATCTCTGGATGATACCTATCGTGTGTGGTCTCGGCTATTCGAGTCTGATCATCTTCGTCGAAAGGCACCGTGCTATCTGACTGTTTGAACCTGGTCGGTATCTCGGGATGATACCTGTCGTGTGTCCGAGTCTGTTCACCTTCGTCGAAAGGCACTCTGCTATCTGACTGTTCTAACCAGGCAACTATCGCTGGATGGTACCTGACGCACGTGGTCTCAGCTGACTGGGTCTGCTCATTTTCACCGAAAGGCACTCCGCTACCTGACTGTTCGAACCTGGTCTGTTATCTCTGGATGATAGCTGGTGAGCGTGGTCTTGGCAGTCCAAATTTGTTCTTCTTCGCCGAAAGGTACTCTACCAGCTGATTGTCCGAACCTGGCCTGTATCTCCGGTCGGTACCTGTCAACCTGACGTGTGTGGCCTCGACTGTCCGAGTCTGTTTCGTTTTCTCTGACAGGCTATTGTTTTCTAGCGGTCGCTGTCTTCTGAGTGTTGTAGCTTGCTCCGAGCGGCACTGGGATCAGTCTGTGTACCGCTGCCCGCAAGGCTGCTTCTTGGCGACTCTCGGCATGCGGCCCCCGGTCACGATTCACGGCGTAACAGAAAGATATTCACAACCAGCCCCTCGTACAGTGCATCCTGTCGTGACTCGTCTCCTGGCTTAAGCGGGTCGGGCGCTTGCGAAACTGGGCAGCCGGAAAATGTGTTTTCTAGTCGTGTCTGTCGAAAACTAGTTTTCGGGCCTGAGCACGGAGGTCGTTTTTGTGGGTCCTGTTTGGGTAAATACTCGTAAAACTGGGCATCTGGAAAACGTTCTTTGGACGGGTCTGTCAGAAAAGAGTTTACAGGCTTGAGTGGGCACGTCTGTTTGGGGCGTCAGTTGGAGTGGGACTATTTGCGGTGAACCGCTCACAGGACCTCACATCTGAGAAAGTGTCTTTTGAGTCGGGTCTGTCTGTAGAAAAGTGCTTGCGTGACCTGTGGTTTGAAGGCCCCTCGAATGGAGTAAGGAAACGCGAAACCGAGACTGTCAAGAAATAACCGTCGATAGCCAGCCGACACCGTTACAAGTGTCCACTCGATGGCCGAGAAAGACTCTGAGCCTTACCAACTCGAAATTCCGGGTAGGAACAATCCAAGTCCCGAGTCAGGAAGAAGATTCTTCCGTAGGCAGCGACATGGACCAATATCCTCCCGATGATGATGAACATGACGAACAAGACTACGCTGACTTATTAAATCATATGCCCACGGAGGAGGAATGAAGTCAGTTGGTCGAGTTGTTCGTTCACGAGGCTAAAGAAGAATTCCGGATGATTCCAACTACCACGTGAACGTTTGGTCAAAACGCAGAGAGAAGCGAACCTAGCTCTGCTTGCCCGTTATCATTTCTCATGCTAATTGAAATGCGGGTTCCAGCAACATCACTTCTTGGAGAACCCATTTTGCAGATTTCCGATATGGCTGAGCTCTTGGAACCCCCTCGTACTTTGTACGAGGGCGCACTTTCATTACGAGGAAGATATTAGCAGATGGATCGATACCTAGATCTCTCGATCTCTCTGCTCAAGCCGTTGCTCATGCAAGGCGCTATGATCGCTTTAATTAGACAAGCGATCGAAGCTTCGATCGATGATGTTCCCAACCTAATGCAGGAAATGGCGGAATTAATTGGGTTAAAAATCGCAGCATGCACCACTGATCCCGAGACCGATGTCGAAGCTAAGGAAACTGAGATGATTAGCCCGGCTGAGTCACAGATGATCACCACCATTTTTTCGATCCGAACGAGTAGCTCTATGTTCTCCAGCGTAAATGGCGAACAACCGATGAAGCTAGATTGGGTTGACATACAACTTGACATTTTTTGCAACCGAACGACGATCAGCTTGTCCAGTCACGTTCCCAGAGAAATCCGCAAATCCCTAATAGATGTATTGCATGGATATGTTGTGGTACTGAGTGCGCACGATAACGATATTGGGGTATCAAGCATGATTGAACACGTGATTCTCACAGGAATCATCCACCGATAAGCTGCACTCCTTATCGGTACTCTCGGGCGCAACAACTTGCAACGTTCCAATGAGTATGGGTAGAACCAAGGATCAACCAATGTAGGATGAACATATATGCAACGGAAGTCTGATGAACGGACTGACTCACATAGACTGACTCACATAGATTGACTCACATAGCATCACTCCACACACATACAATCGTGAGGTGTGGGGTCTGAGCCATACATAGAAGATGCTCAGCCCCGTGCACACATACACAGATGAATGGGGGAGGAGAGACGAAGAGGTGGGGGGAGGTAGACAACACCGAAAGTCACCGAGATAGAATCTGATAGGTCACCGATATGGTAGTCCAAAATGTCATCCAACAAGATCAAAATGTCGAGGACCATAGGTCACCAATGTCGGGGATACAGAGTCCAAATGTAACCGGTGTCYGAWYYGTGATGTCGCCAAGTATCAACCCCAACGATCTCCAAGTCTCCAATCCGGTAAGTACCACAGTCTCATACCACCGAAGTCCAACACTGACCTCTGTCCAACTAGTATAAGTCTCCAATCTGAAGAAGAAGAAGGAGAAGAAGAAGAAGGAGCCGAGGAGGAGAGAGAGAGAGAGGGGACTGGCGATGGGAGGGAGGAGAGAAGCCTCCAACTCCCAATACCTGAGGCGGCTATGGCCGCCGGTAACCCAGTCGCCGCTGCTGCTGCGCTAATCTGCGCTGCGCTGTTCCTCGCTGCTCCTGCGCTAATCTTAGCGCCAGCGCTATATCGCGTTGTACCATACCGTACTGGTAGAATGCCGGTAGGTCGATGCTGGACTGAGGCTGGACCGGTTCTATATACCGGTGGGGTAGAGGCCGGCCTCAATGCTGCGAGGCCTGGCCGTGCCCTGAACCGTCCAGATGGACGGTTCATCCCCAACCGGCGGGCGACAGCCTCAAGAGCGCCGCCAGGCCCAAACGGTAATGTCGTTTGGGCCTGCCCGTCGGGTCTGGTCCGCGGTGAGGCCTTTATGGCCTGTAGTACCCCCAAGGTCGAGCCTTTAGGCCCTGATGTGTCCCTCTAGCCCTAAGTCGGGTCCAGTAGGACCCGTGTGGCGACGAAGATGTAACACACTCCCCCTCTTAAAAGACCGAGCTACTTGCGAGGGCGGAGTTGTCTGTCCGATACCAGGATGGGTCGGGTGGGACGAGCTGCGTCCTTAGCAAGGCGTCGCTTCTCATAGTCGGCGAAGATAAGGGGTGCAGAAGTCTGCAAATCTGTACTGGAGATCCACCGAGTGTCGTCAGGCTCACATTGCTTGAATGTGACTTTGTACTGCATTGGCTTGTTGCCATACTTGCGGTGCGTGATGACTCGGTCCACTTCCTGATGTCCGTCCATGGAGGGCGGATCCTGTGATTGTCGTCTGGGAAACTCGTCATCTGAAGGTGGTGTGTAGATGGCCAGCTTCGATGCATGGAAGACCCGATGCACTGTCAGGTGCGGTGGAATGTTGATCACGAAGGAAGGACCTGCGGGATCGTCTCCAACGGCAGAAGTGACTCTCCATGGTCCGAACCATTTCGGAAGGAGTTTGCGCGAAACATCCTGCTCGAGCGCAAATTCCTCGGAGAGGACCCAAACAAGGTCTCCCTCGCGGAAAGGACATGGAAGTCGACGTCGGTTAGCCTGCTGCTGCATGCGGATCTGAGCCTTTTGCATATTTGCGCGGGCTTTGATCAGCAAGTCCCGGTACTTCCGGACGGAAGCGGGAGAGCAAGGGACGTCTATGTCGGCGGCCTGTGGCAAAAGGAGATCAGCAAAGATCCGTGCTTTCTCTCCACCATGATGTAACTCGAATGGTGTGACGCAGATCGCCGGGTGCACCGAAGTGTTATAGGCGAACTCGATGTCGGGAAGCCGGTCAACCCAATCTTTCTGGTCGGGACGGATGAGCGTACGCAACATCATCTGAGCGGTCTGGTGCTCTCGTTCCATCTGGCCATCCGTCTGCGGGTGCCGAGCCGAGCTCGGCTTCATTGTCGTACCGGACTCAGTCATGAGGGAAGTCCAAAAAGTCGACATGAAGCGAGTATCTCGGTCGCTCACTATATCTTCCGGAACACCCTGGTTGGTAATCCAACCGGTGTGCAAGAGTCGTGCGAGCTCAGGTGCTGCAGCATGATACTTGCAAGGAAGGAAGCGAGCATACT